AATCCCGGGAGTCTCTTTTAAAGGTGTTTTTTTACGGTAATTAAAATTTTCTTTAAAACCCACCCATGATTTTTTTTTTAAAAATTATAAAATTAAAAACACAAATTACATAACATAAAAGATGATAAAATACCCCCAATAGAATAAAAAAACATAAATATAGATGGGGGGAGAAAATAATTTGTAAATGCGGAAAAGAATAAAATTTTTTTAAATTTCAAAACATAAGAAAAAATGTGTTCTGGGGGAAAACTGTAAAAAATTTTTCCCTTTTCGTATGTATGAAAGTAAGTTTATTAGGTTTTTACCCCAAAATACGGGTTACATGGGATTATCATACTAAAAAATTACGTTTTAGAGAACCTAGGAAAACCCCAAAAAAAATTCGGGTGTGATTTTTTCCATTGCCTTCATCAGGCTTAAATTTTTTCTCAAAATGATGTTCCTGAGAATGGGAGTTTTCCTTCTTTTTTAAATTTCTACCGTAAAAAAGGGAGGGGAAAAAAAACCTGTACACAATTTTCCCTTGTACAAAAACCCAAAGGACTTTTTGTACATTTGTTTTTTTAAAAAATTAAATTTCCCCGGGTTTTGGTTTACAAAAAACTGGGCCGCCCCCTCTAAAGTACCCCTTTCCCCTTTCTCTTTTCATTTATTCGTTTTATTTTTTTTATTTAAAAACCCTGACCCTACATTAAGATAAAAAATTTTTTAAAGGGTAAGAAAAATGGGGAAAACTGTATATACTTTTATCGCTCGGGGTGCTTAAATTTCATGGGAAATGTATGTGGGGGTTTGGGGTGGCCTGGGGGAGGTTTATTACAAAAATTACCACACTTGATTTCTTAAAATAAAAATTTACTTGTCTCACCCTAGATTAAGACTAAAAATTTTTTAAAGGTTTAAGAAAATGAGGCACTATGTGTGTATTGTACCTTTTATTTTTTTTTTGATCCCTGGTTTTTTTGTTTACTTAATATATGTTAGTTTTTAAACTTGTTATCTAGTGTTTGTATGCTTTTATAGGGGAAAAAAAAGGGTGTTCCCCTTTACGGCGGTTTTCCCCTTTTCGGGGTAGCCGGAAACCCAACCCGGGGGATAAGTGGGGCCTTTTTGTTTTAAATTTTGATTCTGTCGATATAGAACTAAATTTTTTTTTTGTTTTTTTCAGGGAAAATTTTGCTTCCCAAGGTTTTACAGTAGGGCAATGACCAAATTTTTTGCCGCTTGGGCTTTTTGAAACACTTCCTTTTCAAATCTTCAAAAAAGAAGTATATAAAACATTTCCCCAAATTTTTGGGACATGATTCTTCCACACATTTTCCCTTTTAAACACAATGATATCCAAAAGTTCATCAGCCACTATCAAAATTTTAATTATAAGAATTTGGGCAAAGGGGGCTTGGTCAAATTTTATTAATTTTCCTTGCCACAAGGGAAATTTTGGGCCAAATTTTCCAAATTTAAAGGTCTTTATCAAGCCCGTTTCAAAATTTTTTGCCAATTTAATAAAAAAAATTTAAGTAATTTGTCTTCCTATGGAAGGACATGTTCAGTGCTTTCCTTTGGGCAATATCACATGGGGGCGGGCCTTTTAATTAATGAGCTGGGTCATAGCAGGTGGTTTTCTCATTGCCAAATGGAAAGGCCCCCCAAATTTTTGTCATGCATCCAAAATAAAAATGGCTTCCAACCCTTCATAGTCGGATATTGTCCCTTCAAGCCAAAAAAGAGAACGCAGAGGAAAAAAAAACAACAAAAAACTGTTTCGGAAGAGGTTAATTTCAATTATTTTTATAAATTTTTATTTAACATTGGAATTTAAAAGTATAGGTATATACAGGAAAAATGAAACCAAATTTATTTACAGGGTTAGGTATTTGGGTTTTTTTTTTTATCGCCCAAAATTCTTCCAACCCAAAGGGGGGGATGACCCCCCCCCCCCCCCCCCCTCCTCCCCCCTCCCCCCCCCCCAAAAAAAAAATCTTCATTCACTCAACATGTTTTCCAAAAAGGTATTGAGATCATAGTTAGACCCAAAATTTCCCAACTACAAAATTCCTGGCCTTGTTACACCTTTTTTATAATTTTTTGCCTGTTTTTTCTTCAATCCTTTTTCTCTCTTTCCCTTTTAGTATTTTATCAATAAATTATTTTATTTTAAATTTCCTTTTTTTTTTTTGTTGGGTTTCTTCCATTTCTGTTACCTGGCTTTACTGGTATTTAAATCCATTTTCTCACTTTTTCTATTTTCTTGGAGGGATTTTCAAACCCTTCCCCTGACAGCTTTCCCTTTTTTCCCCTGCCCCTTTCCCCTGAAAATCCCTATTTTTTGAGGCTCACTTTGTGCTTCTTTAAAAGGGAGCAGTTTTTTAAAATGGAAAATTTCTGGACTTGCTCCTTTTAAATTTGTGCTCCCATCAAATACTTCTGCTTCTTTTTCTCTTTTTCATTTACCCCTTTGACTTGCAGCAAACCCAAAAGACCCCCATGGTTTTAATCATTTTTAAAAAATCACAAGGAAGAAAACCACAGCACTACCCAAATTTTCCCAAGTGAATTTAAAAAAAGCTACCCCTTATGGAATTTTTTCTTAACCCCATATTTTGATGTCATTTTTTTATGTGGACCGTCACCTGCTGGTATCTTTTTTGCAGTGCTTTATTTACCGTACTTAGGGTTTGGGCCCCCCATAAAAAGGTTCACGTTCATATTTTAGAGAGCCCCATTTAAACCCCTTTTTTGATTCCCGTATTACTGAAAGGGGGGGGTGAACATCTGAGGCTTAAAGCTTTTTTTTAATTTTTTTTTTTCTGGATTTCATTTTCTATAGGTAGTAGGTTTGGGAGACAGGGAACCCCCCCCAGGGGGTATTTCTGTCCCGCTAAGCGGGGTGTAAAAAGAAAGCCTGTAAATTTTTTTACATGATGGTTTGGTTTTTTTTGGGGTCCAAATTTTTTTTTCTCCTTTAAAATGCAAGGTTTCAGGTATGTCTTTTTACTTTACTTACACTTTGGTTTACAATTTCACTTAAATTTACAAGGGGAAAATTTTACACACCCCCCTGGGTTTTCTTCTATTTTCTTTTCTAGTCCCTTTTTTTGCTTATTCCTCTTAAACCCCCAGGGGGAAATTTGGGAAAAGGGAAATTTTTCCTCCGTAAAGGGATGGTGTTGTAAGAGGGGACCCAAAAAGCCCGGACAAGGGGCTAGTAACCCCCTTTTCCCGCAAAATATTACTAAATTAAAAAAGGAAGAAATTTCGTTTTTTTTTTTGGGCCACCCCCCCCTCGGTGGGGGGAGGGGCCCGTTTGTTGAAAAAAAAAATTATTCATATCCCATCAGATCAGTTTACCCACACTGATTGCACTTACTAGGGTCATAAAAACTAAAGGGTGAAAAAAAAAATTACCTTGGAAACCCTTTTGTTATTACCAGGGTTTTGTTAAAAAAAATATTCTTTTCACAGGGGGGCAATTTTTATGCCCATGTAAGGGACAGAGGGGGTATTTTTCACCCTTTTTCAGGAGTGTATGCTCAGGCAGTTATTTAATATTTTTTTGGTAATGAGTGGCAAATGTGTGATAAGTGGCACAAAAACATGCGGTGGAAAATTCTGCCTTTAAATTTCTAATTTTTTTTCTTTCTTTCAAAGCAAAGGCCATGTTTCCCCCTGAGGCAGGGTGGCCCTAAAAAGAAAAAAAAAAAGTTTTTCTTTATAAATTTTTTTATTATCTCAAACCTTTGTTTCCCGGCATTTTAGTTGCCTTTACAAAACACATGGCTTAGGGAGGGAAAAATTTTGTTCCCCCTTCCCCAGGGGATAAGGGAAAAAAAACAAGGGGAAAAAACCCGTAAGAAAAAAAAGAAAAAAAACTAGAAAGGTGGTATATATATGGGTTTTCAGCAGGGGTAGGTGACCAAAGGGGAAGTAGAAGTAGCAAAACATTCCTTTAAGTCTTTCACAATTTTAGACCCGAAAAAAAATCAAGCAAACCTAACATCATTTTAAAAAAAAATTTCAGGTCGGCCAATTTACTTTTATCCCGGGAATCAGTTATCCGGGTTCCTCGTAATCAGCAATAATTTCAGCTAGAAATTTTTTTAAACTTTTCCATCATACTGACTCAAAAATAATTTACTGTCTCAAATTCATCTTATATACTCAGGGAAAATTGTGTAGATGGTTGTAAATCCACAGCAGCAAGCCCGTGGGGGGAAAAGGGAGTGATGAAAAAAGAGAAGGTTTTAGCAGAAAAAACTTATTGCAAAGGTTAATTATGTGTTTCTAACTTAACCCCCTCTGAATCCCGGGACCTCACCCAATCCAGCACACTACAGGTCCCCAAAGGCAAACTTAGTGATGGGCCGAACCCTGTACAGGTGTCCGTTTTTCACTCACTTGGCAGGACAGTAGTACATACCTCCCTGGGCGGTTGCTGTCTACCAACCTACTACCTAGGAAATTTCTAAGTGTTTCTTATAAAACATCAAGGGAGGAGATATATTAAAGAGAATACAGTCGGACTTGAGTCCTGGAAATGGGAAGTACAATGCCTGCACTTTAAAGGAGGGGTTTGGGATATTGGCAGTTTGGAGGGATATGTTGTGTATCTTTATATGTGTATGCTTCTAGACTGTTGTATTCTGAGCACCTCTGCAAAAACAGTGATAATGTGCGAGTGTGGTGAAAGTGTTGAATGATGATGAAAGTATTTTCTTTTTGGGGATTTTCTTTCTTTTTTGGGTCACCCTGCCTCGATGGGAGACGGCCGACTTGTTGAAAAAAAAAAAAAAAAAAACAGTTTAAGATATTGTATGTAAGTAATTGAAAGCTAATATGTATATAGGAGGATGGGAACCCCAGACTGGTAGCTTTATGGGGCACTGTGGTCTTAATTAAAACAACTCCATTATTATTATAGAGAAGAGCATAGAAACAGTAAACACATATGCATATATAGAAGTAGACAGAAGTATACAGTAGATACATAAGTGACAGGTTTGTATGTGTGTTGCAGGTAGAGGAGGCAGTGGCAGGATTTGCTCCCTTGGCACGACACAAATTTCTTACTTTCGATCCCGATTTTACTCTGCCTGAGATGCATGTGCACAGACCACCACCTCATGTAAGGTTGTAATTGTTTACAAGATGCAGTTCTTTCAGTAGGACAGCTTCAATATTATATCAAATAAATTCAGATTTTTAGGGCATTGTATGAAACCAGTGTTGCCACAGAAAGGAAGATTGTACTCAAGTACAGTGTCTGCAGTGTGTGGATGAATGTTAGTTCATCCACCTGGTGGGACAGTAATTCATCTGTAGTTTGTGGGATTCAATGAGTTTCAGTCTATCTGTTATTATCATGGGGAGCACTAAACCTGTAGGGATTATACAGTGCCTGTGGGGGAACTGAAGCACAGATCCAATTCCCTAGATCAAGAGCCCCTCACCAGCATCAAGAAACCTCCCTTGAGGGGTTCAGTCTATCAGTTAATAGCTTACTTCTTTAATATTATTACAAGCTAGATGAGCTTTGGAATTTGTTGAAATTTACTCTCGAGGGGACAGATAGTTGTGTGATAGTCTGATTGAAAATAGGGAAATGACATAGCCAGAGTTTGTCACATTCACTTGCATGTCTGTGGGGTATGGAAAGCAAGGGCCCAGTCACCTCAGACATAGCCAGGCACTTGCCTAATGTGTTTGTTTATTCTGATGATCAATATTCATATTAACTCAATAATAAAGTGTTGTCTTCAGCAGTACAGTACTCTGTACATTTTCATATTCATGACTACAATTATTGATCATACAAGGTAAGCTATATTCAGTACATCTACAAATATCTTTCACACAGTAGCATAAATTTGCACAATGATTCTGATGACATTAATGTTGTAGATATGCATTATTTGTTTTGTAGATTTAACCTAGGATAACTACATAAAGTCAGTGTGGTATTTCCATTAGAAAAGCTATGCATTTAATGGCAGACACAAAGGTTAGGGCACAGAAGAGATAATATAGGATGAGAATGGAATATCTTGACTCACTTTAAATCAGGATTGCATTTTAATGTATAATGTGATAGTATAAGTCATTCCTTAGTACTGTACTAGAAATATTTTCAACACAGTAGTAGAAGAGAATGGTTTATGAAAGAAAGTAGTAAACGATGTAGGATAGATTTATCTTGTATAGACTAGAATGTTCTAGAATTATTATTATTATTATAATTATATTATGGGAGTGTTAAACTTGTAGAGGTCAAACATCACCTTGAGAATTAAAGGTAATTAGGTTTGATCCAAGAGAGTGCAGGATTGTTCCAGTTCTTTGGATCAAGAGTTCTGCACCAGCATCAAGACATTCACTCTGTAGGGACCTTCATCTCTAAAAATGCCATCTTTAGCACAGATGCTGTCTGTGGTTTTTCATCAATACTTTCCAACATTTTTATTTACTAGCTTCTTGTCCTATCTGTCCTTTCCCTTTGATTGCCCCTTTCCCTCAAGGGAGGTTCCTTGATGCCAGTGAGGGGCTCTTTTGCTCAAGGCATTGGGCCTATCCTTGAATCAAACTTGATTGCTTCCATTCCTGCAAGCTCTATATGACCCCTTCAAGAATAGCAGTGTGTGGCCAGCAGTAATAGCCTGAATGTTCAGGTTTGGTCATGGACTGAGCTGCAGGGGCATTGATCCTCAGATTATTATAGTCAAAACTAAGTGCTAAACCCACGAGGGTCATACAGAGTTGCACGATAGAGTATGCTAAAGGTTTAATAAACTTGATTGTTGAGTCTAAGAGCACTCGGTAGAAAGACTTCAGGTAGGTAGACTTTCCGTTAATACAGTATATCATATGTAATTGCCCATGGTGTTGTACATCTGTTGCTCTTTCTTTATATGCATTCTGCTCTCTCATGAAGAACCAAATTACCCTTTTGAATTTATTGGTTTTCATGAGTATTATTTTTTTCATTATTGCTAGTGAGTGGGCGTGAATACTGATAGGTCTGTACAAGAATTAAGGCAGTTGTTGTCTTAACAGTATTCCACAACATGGAGTTTATGCTGAAGATTAGACACATAAATTCCATATTGTGGAATTGTTAAAAGAGCTTTTACTAATTGACAAGACACTATATTGTTTTCACATATGTTCTTATTTGATTTATTACAAGTATTATTTTCATAGTAGGTAGTAGGTTGGTAGACAGCAACCGCCCAGGGAGGTACTATCGTCCTGCCAAGTGAGTGTAAAACGGAAACCTGTAATTGTTTTACACGATGGTAGGATTGCTGGTGTCTTTTTTCTGTCTCATAAACATGCAAGATTTCAGGTACATCTTGCTACTTCTACTTACACTTAAGGCACACTACACATACATGTACAAGCATATATATATACATACCCCTCTGAGTTTTCTTCTATTTTCTTTCTAGTTCTTGTTCTTGTTTATTTCCTCTTATCTCCATGGGGAAGTGGAGCAGAATTCTTCCTCCGTAAGCCATGCATGTTGTAAGAGGCGACTAAAATGCCGGGAACAAGGGGCTAGTAACCCCTTCTCCTGTATAAATTACTAAATTTAAAAAGGGAAACTTTCGTTTTTCTTTTTGGGCCACCCTGCCTCGGTGGGATACGGCCGGTTTGTTGAAAGAAGAAGAAGAATTATTTTCATAGAAAAGCACTAAACCATTAGGTGTCATATAGTGCCAGGGGGATGGGAGGTAATCAGGTCTGATTCAGGATAAAAGGAGGGCAGCCCCAGTTCCCTAGATCAAGAGCCCTTCATCAGCCTTAATGCACCCCACCTTTCTTCCTCTAACAAGGGACTACTGTCTTGCAGCACTTACTTTTTATTTTCATTCATAATAGATAATGTCACTTTTAACATGAATATCTTCTAGGAGTGGCAAGTAACAGCATATGCGACAGCTGATGAGTACAACCTTGAGAAACTTCTTGATGGGCTGACTAGACAAGGACTCTACACCAGAGCCAGCATAACACCAGGTAACCATCCTTCGGAGCATGGCACCCACAGAACAGCCTCTGGCTTAATCTCTGGTGGTCGTGCACAGGCTACTTCAAGTTCTGCTTCCTCAATGTCACCACCAGTGCCTGGTACGTCCTGTGTATGGCAGCTTTATATACCATAATGACTGTAGTAAGCAACCCTTTTTTATTTTTATATATTGCTCATTGCTAAACTCTCAAACATATACATGTAATGTTAGACAGCATTTTGGTCCATCATCTAGTGGCCACTTGAAAATGCACCAGAACAGATCAAAATACCAGGTCAAGTATTGGCAGTGTTGCCTTCTCTCACTCGTGTCACTTTGTGCTGATGCATAAAAAACTGTCAGCAGGTTAAGGAATTCTGTTGACCTTTTATTATCTCGGTCCTGTTTCAGCAATAGTTCCCTGTTTTATGTTATTTAAGCCTTCATTTACCTTGTCAAATTCTTCTCTTTCCCAAGTCTTATTAAATGGTGGATTGTATGGACTGACTATTACGTACAGTGGACCCTTGGTTATAGGCCGATTCGCTCATCGGCCGGTTTTTCGGCTTCCGGTTATCGGCTGTTATTTCGCTTATCGGCCGTATGGGATGCATCAACCCGCCACTGCCAGCCACTCATACGTCAGTCTGGCTTTGTCTCTGTGCAAGTGAGGAAGCTTCTGCTCATTCATCCAAACATTTGGCTGTAACCAATTGTTTTTCGTGGTCAGCAACTGCAAAATAAGTAACCATGGCCCCAAAGAAAGTTTCTAATAACGTTCCTTTGGTAAAGAAAATGAGAAACATGATAGAATTTAAGAAAGAAGTTGTTGAAAAGAATGAGAGTGGTTTTTTAGTGCTAGAACTTGCCAGGATGTATCGGAAAAACAAATCAACAATCACTTCTATCCTGGCAAAGAAAGAACAAATCGAGGAAGCCGATGTGGCGAAAGGAGTAAATGTGCTAACCAAACAAAGGTCACCGATAATGGAAGATATGGAGAAGTTGTTGGTTTTGTGGATCACCAAAAAACAATTAGCAGGAGATAGTGTTGTGGAGTTGATGATTTGTGAGAAGGCAAGGCAGTTGCTTGAGGATCTTGTAAAGAAAATGCCTGGAACAAGTGCTGCTGTTAGTGAATTTAGGACCAGCAAAGGCTGGTTTGAGAGATTTAAGAAGCATAGTGGCATACACAGTGTGGTAAGGCATGGGGAGGCTGCAAGTTCTGACAAATATGCTGCTGAAAAATTTGTGCAGGAATTCAAGGGGTACATAGAGGCTGAAGGATTCCTCCCCCAACAAGTGTTCAGTTGTAACGAAACAGGCTTCTTTTGGAAGAAAATGCCGAGGAAGACCTACATTACACAGGAGGAAAAAGCACTACCAGGACACAAGCCTATGAAAGACAGGCTTATTCTTTTGTTCTGTGGTAATGCTAATGGGGATTTCAAAGTGAAGCCTTTACTCGTGTATCACTCTGAAAATCCCAGAGTGTTCAAGAAAAACAATGTCATCAAGAATAGATTGTGTGTGATGTGGAAAGCTAATAATAAGGCATGGGTAACAAGGCACATTTTCAAAGAGTGGGTCAATGATGTGTTTGGCCCGAGTGTGAAAAAATACCTCCTGGAAAAGAAATTGCCACTCAAGTGCCTCCTGGTACTGGACAGTGCTCCTGCTCATCCTCCAGACTTGGAAAACCAATTGTTTAGGGACTTGTGTTGTATAACAGTGAAGTTCTTGCCTCCTAACACCACTCCTCTCATCCAGTCCATGGATCAACAGATCATTTCTAACTTCAAAAAACTCTACACAAAAGCAGTGTTTCAAAGGTATTTTGAAGTGACCTCGGACACTGACTTGACCCTAAGAGAGTTCTGGAGGAATCACTTCAGTATCTTCCATTGTATAAGCCTTAAGGCTTGGCAGTGAGTGACTCCAGGACTTTGAACTCTGCTTGGAGAAAATTGTGACCAGATTGTGTCCAAGAGAGGGATTTTGAAGGGTTTGGGGCTGACCCTGAGGACCTTATGCCTGTTATTCAATCTATTGTGGCACTGGGGAAATCCTTGGGGATGGATGTGAGTGGCGAGGATGTGGAAGAGTTGGTGGAGGACCACAGGGAAGAGCTAACCTCTGAAGAGCTGCAAAACCTTCAACTGGAACAGCAACAGACTGCAGCTGAGGAAATTGCTTCAGAGGAGGAGGAAGTGAGAGGGGAGAAGGTGCCTTCTTCAGTGATTAAGGACATGTGTACAAAGTGGAATGAGTTGCAAAGTTTTGTTGAAAAGTATCACCCTGACCAAGCTGAAACATGCCATGTCTGCAACATGTTCAGTGACAAAACCTTGTCCCATTTTAGGGAAATCTTAAAGAGATGCCAGAAACAGAGCACTCTGGACAGTTATTTTGTGCAACAAGGGTCCAGTGACTCTCAAGCTGGTCCTAGTACCATTAAGAGACAAAGAAAGGAAGTAACCTCAGATAAGGACTTGATGCCTGAAGTCTTTATGAAGGGGGATTTCCCTTCCAAACAATAAATCCTCCCTCTCTCCTCCTCCCTGTCTTCGTTAAGCCAACAAAAGTCTTCAGTAAAGGTATGTAATAGTGATTTAAATGTACATTTATTTATTTTACTTAGTTCTCATTGTTTTGTGTATGGAAAACTATAATTAATCCTCAGAAAATGTATTTTTTGTTAATATTTTTGGGTGTCTGGAACGGATTAATTTTTTTTTTTTTAACAAGTCGGCCGTCTCCCACCAAGGCAGGGTGACCCAAAGAGAAAGAAAATCCCCAAAAAGAAAATACTTTCATCATCATTCAACACTTTCACCTCACTCACACATAATCACTGTTTTTGCAGAGGTGCCCAGAATACAACAGTTTAGAAGTATATACTAAGTATAAAAATACACAATATATCTCTCCAAACTGCCAATATCCCAAACCCCTCCTCTAGAGTGCAGGCATTGTACTTCCCATTTCCAGGACTCAAGTCCGGTTATATAAAATAACCGGTTTCCCTGAATCCCTTCAATAAAACCCTGCTCACACTCCAACAGATCGTCAGGTCCCGAATACCATTTGTCTCCATTCACTCCTATCTAACACGCTCACACACGCTTGCTGGAAGTCCAAACCATTCGCCCACAACACCTCCTTTACCCCCTCCCTCCAACCTTTTCGAGGACGACCCTTACCCCGCCTTCCTTCCCCTACAGATTTATACACTCTCCATGTCAATCTACTTTGAGCTATTCTCTCTAAATGACCAAACCACCTCAACAAACCCTCTTCAGCCCTCTTACTAATACTTTTATTAACTCCACACCTTCTCCTAATTTCCACACTCCGAATTTTCTGCATAATACACCTACCATCCGACTTACGACCGAGTTCGGTTCCGAGAAACCGGTCGTAAGTCGAACTTTACTACTGAATATCAAGAAAACATTTTTGTAATGACTTTATTTTATTGTTTTATTTTGGTATTTCATGTTTTACTTTACTTTTTATGTTGTTAGTACTGTATTTTATACTGTAAGGTTTAGGATAAACACTGTGTACAACACAAATAGTTGTTTATTTCCCAGAAATTTGGCATAAAAACACGGTCGTAAGTCGAGTGGTCGTAAGTCGACCAGGTCGTAAGTCGGATGGTAGGTGTATTTACACCACACATTGCTCTTAGACAGGACATCTCCACTGCTTCCAACTGCCTCCTCGCTGCAGCATTTACAATCCAAGCTTCACACCCATATAAGAGTGTTGGTGCTACTATACTTTCGTACATTCCCTTCTTTGCCTCCATAGATAACATTTTTTGCCTCCACATATACCTCAATGCACCACTCACCTTTTTTCCTTCATCAATTCTATGATTAACCTCATCCTTCATAAATTCATCCGCCGACACGTCAACTCCCAAATACAGTGGACCCCCGGTTAACGAACTTTTTTCATTCTAGTAGTATGTTCAGGTGCCAGTACTGACCGAATTTTTTCCCATAAGGAATATTGTGAAGTAGATTAGTCCATTTCAGACCCCCAAACATACACGTACAAACGCACTTACATAAATACACTTACATAATTGGTCGCATTTGGAGGTGATCGTTAAGCAGGGGTCCACTGTATCTGAAAACATTCACTTCTACCATACTCCTCCTCCCCAATTTGATATCCAATTTTTTTTTATCTAAATCATTTGATACTCTCATCACCTTACTCTTTTCTGTGTTCACTTTCAACTTTCTACCTTTACACACATTCCCAAATTTGTCCACTAACCTTCGCAATTTTTCTTTAGAATCTCCCATAAGCACAGTATCATCAGCAAAAAGTAACTGTGTCACTTCCCATTTTGTATTTAATTCCCCATAATTTAATCCAACCCCTCTCCTGAACACCCTAGCATTTACTTCCTTTACAACCCCATCTATAAATATATTAAACAACCATGGTGACATTACACATCCCTGTCTAAGACCTACTTTTACCGGGAAGTAGTCTCCCTCTCTTCTACACACCCTAACCTGAACCTCACTATCCTCATAAGAACTCTTTACAGCATTTAGTAACTTACCACCTATTCCATATACTTGCAACATCTGCCACATTGCTCCCCTATCCACTCTATCATATGCCTTTTCTAAATCCATAAATGCAATAAAAACTTCCCTACCTTTATCTAAATACTGCTCACATATATGCTTCAGTGTAAATACTTGATCTACACATCCCATACCCACTCTAAAACCTCCTTGCTCATTCGCAATTCTACATTCTGTCTTACCTCTAATTCTTTCAATAATAACCCTACCGTACACTTTTCCTGGTATACTCAGTAAACTTATTCCTCTATAATTTTTACAATCTCTTTTGTCCCCCTTCCCTTTATATAAAGGGACTATACATGCTCTCCGCCAATCCCTAGGTACCTTCCCCTCTTTACACAAATAACCCGCACATAGAAGAGAGGAGCTTACGACGACGTTTCGGTCCGACTTGGACCATTTACAAAGACACACTAATGAGAAGTGGAGCATGATGGGTATATATAGGTAGGAAGAGGTGGTGGTAGTGGTAGTAGTAGTGGTAGTAGTAGTAGTAGTAGTGGTAGTAGTAGTAGTAGTAGTGGTAGTAGTAGTAGTGGTGGTGGTAGTAGTGGTGGTGGTGGTAGTAGTAGTAGTGGTAGTAGTGGTGGTAGTAGTAGTAGTAGTGGTAGTAATAGTAGTAGTGGTAGTAGTAGTGGTGGTAGTAGTAGTAGTGGTGGTAGTAGTAGTGGTAGTAGTGGTAGTAATAGTAGTAGTGGTAGTAGTAGTGGTAGTAGTAGTAGTAGTAGTAGTAGTAGTAGTAGTAGTAGTAGTACATTTATTAAACAAAAATACCAACCACTCCAACACTATGTCCCCCCCTGCTTTTAACATTTCTGTCATGATCCCATCAGTTCCAGCTGCTTTACCCCCTTTCATTCTACGTAATGCCTCACGTACCTCCCCCACACTCACATCCTGCTCTTCTTCACTCCTAAAAGATGATATACCTCCCTGGCCAGTGCATGAAATTACCACCTCCCTTTCTTCGTAGACATATAAAAAGTTCCTCAAAATATTCTCGCCATCTACCCAAAACCTCCATCTCCCCATCTACTAGCTCCCCTACTCTGTTTTTAACTGATAAATTCATTTGTTCCCTAGGCTTTCTTAACTTGTTTAACTCACTCCAAATTTTTTTCTTATTTTCATTAAAATTCCTTGACAGTACCTCTCCCACTCTATCATCCGCTCTCCTTTTACACTCTCTCACCACTCTCTTCACCTTTCTTTTACTGTCCATATATTCTACTCTTCTTATAACACTTCTGCTTTGTAAATACCTCTCATAAGCTACCTTTTTCTCTTTTATCACACCCTTTACTTCATCATTCCACCAATCACTCTTCTTTCCTCCTGCACCCACCCTCCTATAACCACAAACTTCTGCCCCACATTCTAATACTGCATTTTTAAAACTATTCCAACCCTCTTCAACCCCCCCACTACTCATATCTGCACCAGCCCACCTTTCTGCCAATAGTTGCTTATATTTCACCTGATTAATTGTTTTTTTTTTTTTTTTTTTTCAACAAGTCGGTCGTCTCCCACCGAGGCAGGGTGACCCAAAAAAAAAAAAGAAAGAAAATCCCCAAAAAGAAAATACTTTCATCATCATTCAACACTTTCACCACACTCACACATTATCACTGCTTTTGCAGAGGTGCTCAGAATATAACAGTTTAGAAGCATATACGTATAGAGATACACAACATATTCAGTTTTCAACCATTTCGGTTTTAGGCCAACCTTCTGGAACGGATTACAGCCAATAACCAAGGGTCCACTGTATATATTGAGTTGTATCTATAGCTGTTATTGATACATGCATGGAAAGTTGAGAATATATGTTGTATGCTCACTCACCCTAGGTGCTGCTGCTCTCTCATGCTCTGGTGCCCTTTCTAGTTGATTCTAGCTACTACATTTTTTAGAAGATACTGTAAGTCCATGGGAGAGAACATTGTGTATATTTACTGTAAACAAACTTGGGTCAGTGTTTGTGCTATTCTCAGTCTGCAAATACACTAGCTACTTGCAGCCAGGGATAGGCAGCCTTGTTTGTACTCTAGACTTCTTTGTATTAAGTGGCATTATAGTGATGAATCAGCCTGCTTTTTTGGTAGATTGTGGTAGCTCCATTTGTGTTAAATAGAACTGCATTAGTCACGTCAACCACAATATGAAGTGCTGTGTAGAAAACTTCTACTGACACTCTCCAGTGAGCAATACATGCATAGTGCATGAAAATTGCATTTTCTATACAAAAATGTTCATCACTCTTTCCAATGAAACCAGTTTGGTCAACATTGCATAATTGGTTACCAAGGAATTGTTGCACAACATGTTGCAGGCATTTGTAGGTGATCTCAAAAGTAGCATTCGACAAACTCATTTTCTTTGTTGTAAATGCTTGTAGATGATTTTTCTCCAAATTGGCATTTGGCAAGTTCGTCGCTCTTCTTCTCAGCAGCTCGTATATACTGGCTGTGTAATCATTTAAATGTTTTTGTAATTTAGCCTAATTGATTTTATGTGAGAATACATTTTGCAGTTATATTAACTACAGTATAGGTAGTAGGTTGGTAAACAGCAACTGCCCAGGGAGGTACTACCGTCCTGCCAAGTGAGTGTAAAACGAAAGCCTGTAATTGTTTTACATGATGTGTAGGGTTGCTGGTGTCTTTTGTCTGTCTCATAAACATGCAAGATTTCAGGTACATCTTGCTACACTTAGGTCACACTATACATACGTGTACAAGCATATATATACACACCCCTCTGGGTTTTCTTCTATTTTCTTTCTATTTCTTATTCTTGTTTATTTCCTCTTATCTCCATGGGGAAATGGAACAGAATTCTTCCTCCGTAAGCCATTCATGTTGTAAGAGGCAACTGAAATGCTGGGAGCAAGGGGCTAGTAACTCCTTCTCCTGTATAGATTACTAAATTTAAAAAGAGAAACTTTTGTTTTTCTTTTTGGGCTACCCTGCCTCGGTGGGATACGGCTGGTTTGTTGAAAAAAAAATTAACTACAGTATATGTTTGATATAAAAGATAATCTTGTGTATAAAATACATAATATACAGGCAGGCCCCACTTTACAGCGTGTTGCTAATACAGTGGTTTTCAGTTATACCCATTCTTTATTTATTCAGACTTCCGGAAATAAAGATATTTACCACTCACTAAAAGTTAAGGAGAAAAATATTTTAAGTAATGTGTGTATTGTATATGCATTTTTTTTATGTCTTGCTATATTGCTCACTTAATAGTACATGGTGTAAACATGTTACCACGCTTTTATATGCATTTGAAAGTGAAAAAAGGCTATGATTCACTTTACAGCAATTTTCACTTTACAGCAGTAGCCCCAGAACCCAATGTGCTGTAGAAGCAGGGCCCTCCTGTACAAACTCCCAATAATATTGTATGTCTAGTGGTATGTACGTAACTTTGTTTTATGCCTTACAGATGCCAATGATGTTTTGCATATGGTTGCCACTTACCAGCTAGAGACAGAGCACAGAGAAATTTACTTCTTCAGAGAGGGCTCTGTTGTTTTCTGGAATGTAGCAGAATTGGAAAGAGCAAATGTTCTTAGATATTTAAAATCATATGAGGAAGGCAAGTATGATGAGCAAGCGGTGGAGGAGGAAAGTGAAAGCCTCACCTATAGGTACAGCGAAGGACCGTAAGTGCAATTATTTTTATAATACTACACTTTGTTTTTTGTGTTATTTATTTCCTGTGTGTGATTAATGGGCTTTTCACATTAATATTGATTTGAGAAATAATTACTATAAAATGATAAATTATTTTTTATATATTAACTTACCAAACCATTTTTTCATTTCAGATCAAAGACAAAATTGGTTAATGACAAAATCTTCCTGAACCCAGAGGGTCAAACAGACTTGGAAAAGTATACCTTCAGTAATGCCATGACTTTGTCTGTGAAGCTAGGAATATGGGAAGCATCGCTTGATAGATATATAAATAACATAGAGTATGTTTCAGAGGTAAGACATCTTTATTGTTTTTTAAACACAGAGTAACTTGAGGGAAATTTATTTCTGTATGGATAGTGTTTATAATGCTAGGGAAATTTGTGAATGTTTACTTATTATATTAACTAATTAAACAAGAAAGATAGTAATTAACTCTTTGGGGGTTTCAGACGTACTAGTATGGCTTACGCGCAGGTTTTTTTTTTGACGTACTAGTACGCATAAATTCTAGCGCCGTCAAATCTCGCGGGAAAAGGCTGTTTGGCCTAGATGTGAGAGAATGGGTCTGTGTGGTCGGTGTGCGCGGTAGAAAAAAAATCTGGGACCTAGTGGTGCATTGTGGGAATGCCATCTTAGTACACAATGTCCACCATGCCTCGCGGTAAGAAGTTCCTCACTCCTCGGCAAATTGGGACACTTTTGTTCCCTAGTGACAGTTCTAATACAGATGGAAGTGCCAGTGAAGATGAGTTTCAATGTTTTGGTGAGGTTTTGACCGAAACTAATGACCATAATATCGGTAATAGTGAGGAAAACCCAGACGACCCTCAGCCTTCCACCTCTGGTGCTAGGCCGTCTTGTTCACGTTCAGTTGTACCAGAATCAAAGAGGAAACTCCTATTTTCTCAAATCCCAGACTCAGATGTGAGCATTTGTGATGATAGTGATAGTGAATATGAACTACAAGCTCTTGAAACTAGTTCCAGTAGTGATAGTGAAGTGCAATATTCCCCAGTGAAGCGTCAGTATATACGACGATATATGCGCTCTGGTAGTGTGCCATATGCTATTCCAAGGGGAAGGAGTACATCTTGGAGTACATCCCATGGCTGTACAACAGGAACAGACAGTGAAAATGACGATGATAGTGTTGCAATTGGGATGGAAAATATGCATGGTGGTGGTAGTGGTGGTGCCGGCCATGAGGCACCAGCAGTGGGCCATGCTGCCACCCACGCTGCCACCCATGCCGCTGCCTCAGCTGATCTACAAAAAAGGCCACCATCTCCCACCCACCCACCATGCCAGCCTCCACAACCACAACCACCTGTCATTGTCCAGTACCCACCAGCAGACCTCACTTGGGATTGGCAGGAAGCTGTCAATTTTGTTCCAAATCCCCACCAGTTTGATGACAGCCAAAGTGGAATACGGCCATCTTGTACACTTGGGAACAATGCCACTGAACTGGAATGTTTCGAGTTATTCTTTGAAGAACCCCTGATAGAAAGTATTGTCATGGAAAGCAACACATACTACGAGTACACCATGGCAGACACAATACTTTCACCAAAATCACGTCTACACCAGTGGAAGGAGGCAACTGTGGCTGAGATGTATCTTTTCTTTGCCACAATAATGCTTATGCCACATGTGTATAACACAAAGTGAAATAAATACTGGTCACAGACCGCCTGATTGCAACCCCAGGTTTCAGTGATATAATGCCAGTGAATCGATTTGTGCTAATGTTATGTATGCTTCGCTTCTCAGACAAAACCAGGCCTGACAGAAACGACAGTTTATATAAGATTAGGCATGTGTTTGTGTATCCGAAAGAGAAATTCAGTATGTATTTTTATCCCTTCAGGAAGCTTGTAATTGACGAGTCTTTGATTCTGTTCAAAGGAAGACTCTCTTTCAAGCAGTACATACCAAGCAAGAGGAAACGTTTTGGTATAAAGTTGTTTGTGCTTTGTGATTGTTACGGTGGTCTGGTATTGGATATTATTGTGTACACTGGAAGTTAATTTGTTACGGTGGTCTGGTATTGGATATTATTGTGTACACTGGAAGTTATACATTGCAAAATACCAGGAAGTTATTGGGCATCTCTGGTGATGTGGTTAGAACAATGATAGAACCATACCTTGGTAAGGGGCATATATTATATACTGATAACTGGTACACAAGCCCCTCACTCAGTGATTTTTTGCAAGTGAACATGACAGATGTGTGTGGCAAAGTGCGTGCAAATCGGAAACATGTGCCCAGGTTTGATGCTGGCACTCGTAGAGGTGAGGTGCAGGCGTTTGCTGCCATTAACATCATGGCATTTCAGTGGCATGACAAACGAGAAGTCACACTGTTGTCATCAGTTCACCCTAATGAAATGGCAGACACTGGCAGGCAGCATAGAGAGAGCAATGAACCCATTCTAAAACCTGCAGCTGTGATTGATTACACCTTCAATATGCACTCAGTGGACAAATGTGACGTGCAGATTGGGTTTGCTGATTGTGTTCGTAAGAGTTATAAGTGGTACATAAAACTCTTTTTCCATCTTCTGGACATTTCCATGCTCAATGCTTATAATATGTATAAGATGAGGACCAGAAACAAACCACAATACGGCAAATTCTGTTTGTCTGTCATCAGACAAATAGTATTCAAGTACCAAGGAAGAACACCTGCAATAGACCGCCCACCAAATTATCAACAACTACCTTCTCGTCTGAAGGATGGTGATCACTTCCTAGTAAAACTGCTTTCAAGAAAAATGCTCAGAAGAGGTGTTATGTCTGTGCACATACAAGGAAACGCCCACAACAACGCAGAGACACTCGTTTTATGTGTGAGGAATGTAAAATACCACTGTGCATGACACCATGTTTCAAAGATTTCCACAGGCTGCAGAACTTCTAGAAACATTCCCTGTGACTGTATATGTGTATATAAAATATAGAAAAATAGTAATAAACAACATTTCATATTGTTTGTTTGTGTAAATATTTTCTATAAACAAAACAATGACAACAGTGTTTATGCCCTTATTGTGTAGTATTGAAAAAGAAATAACTTACAAAATACTGATCATACTGGTCTCACAGGCCATAAAAGTTACTTGGAAAAAGAAAAATTAAAAAATAATAGAAAATAGTACATAAAACAGTAAATAAAAGAATACCGGGTGATGGCAGTCGGCGATGTTGCCACATTGTGCCCCTTTTTCGTCAACTTCACGCCTCCATATCTCGGTAAGTATTGATGGTAAAAATTTTTTGTTTAGCCTATAATGTTTAGAAAAAAAAAAAACTATTTTTTCATAAGAAAAAATCTTTTTTTTTGGGGGGGGGGGAAATTTGGCCGACCCTGAGAACAAGTCTCTGAGAGGACCTGTCGACCCTCAAAGGGTTAAACATAACAGTTGAGTTTATAATTAGATGGGTATGCTGTTGTATATATTCAGTGATTTTTTTTTTTTGTCATATAAGATTATGATAAAATATTTAATTTCCAAGATACATTGACATCACAAAGATTGTTGTGCATTAGTGTTTACTTACAGGGACAAGCCCACAGTTATGCAAAGCATTTCAGGCAGAGTAAAACAAGAGCTTAAAAATTACTTGACAAGTTAAACACATATGTAACAGCTGTGTTTAATATAATTAAGTTGTCTGAATAATATCTGTGTATGCTAAGTTTAATTTAACAAAGTTATCTGAAGACAGGACTGTCAATTACAAGAAATATTTTGGATAATGAAACTCTGCCTGTTTAATACAGTGATGTTGATATGAAGGGACAGTAACACACAACAGCATTGACAATTTCAGCAATTAAATTTTTTGGGGGGAAATGAGTAATTTATGGCACATAATTTGCATAACTCCTTTCCTTCCATTTTATTATTGACTAGAAAATACACACAAACATTTGTGACCTGGAATAAAATGTTGACATATACAGTAATTCATGTAGATTTTATTTTTGTGACACGTTCACTAAAATAAATGAAATTGCCATCAGGAGCTGAGCAAACATGGGCGTGTGGTGCTGAGCCAGACACAGGTGTTACAGCGTATGGGACAACTCTTTGCCCTCCGCCACCTCATTAATCTGAGCTCAGATCTCCTGGATGTGCCAGACTTTTACTGGGAATATGAAGAACTGGAACAACTTTATAAAAAAGTTTCAAATTACCTCAGTATCTCTAAGCGAACTTCTGTGAGTTTTCTTGAAATTATGATACAATATTTTGAGTTTTTATCCATAACTGCTCTCATAGGTCAGACTGCAAGTTCCCTAGCTTAACCCTTTTAGCCCTGAATTATGAAAGGCATATTGGTTTGTTCTCATTTGTTGATATGTTGTGTGAGGCAGAGAGCTGCCAAAGTTACCAGATTCACAATCAAGTAGATTTTTAGAAGTAGTGAAGGTCCCTCCAGTTTTCTATGGCCTCCAACTGTTACCAGTACATTGCTATGGTTATAGAAAAGAGCTGGGAACCTGATATCCCATCAGAGCTAAAAGGGTTAATAGTGCCCCATACCACACACAGCCCACCCTTACAAATGGCATTTTGGAGCCAATTAAAGTTTTACTTTTACTCACCTATGTACTTCCACATCATAACTGAAACAATCACTTTGAACCTTTTATCCATTGTTGGCAGGAATATAACTGAATCATTGTTTTCACAAAAAGCATTTTCGAATATAAATATATCTTTGTATTATACAAATTTTGATTCATTTATAATTAATATTCTACTGTACAACTATGAAATCATTACTATCCTATTGTACAGCTATGATATACTCCTTAGTGTTAAGTAGACTGTAAGCCAATAATGTTAACTTGGCCCATAATGCTTAGGCATAATAGAGGCTCTCTTTGCATTGCAACCCACTATTGTAAATACAAAATCTCAGTGTACTGTTTGCAAAGACATAAAGTAAATAAATAAATAAATAAATAAATACAAATATTAAACCAGTGCAAAAATGTGAAATATAACCATCCATCATGTTGTTTTCTATATAAACAGGCGCTAACTGTTGCCTCATTGCAGTTTCTCTCCAGCACGCAGTCAACCATGTTTCCAATTGGGCCACTGCTCATGGGTTTAAAATTTCTAGTACTAAAACAAGCCAAATTACTTTCACTAGACGTTCTATCATCCCTGATAATCCATTGTACCTGTATGGCTTGCGTATCCCAGAACATGATACTTTCAGGTTTCTCAGCCTTTTGTTTGACCGTCACTTATCCTGGAAACCTCACATTACCTCCTTGAAGGCAATTTGTCATAGCCGGCTGAACCTCCTTAACCCTTAAACAGTCCAAACATAGATCTACGTTTGTACACATAGTGCTCCAACCTTGATTTTCTCCATACGAAGGAATGTAAAAAAAAACATAGATCTACGTTCGGAATGCTACACAAGCAAACGTAGATCTACGTTTGGACAGTTTAAGGGTTAAAACCCTCACACATCTTTCATGGGAGGGAGGGCGCTGATCATCGGACTCTCCTTCGACTGCATTCCGCCCTAATTTTATTGAAACTAGATTATGGCGACCAGATATATTCAGCAACCTCTCTTGCAACTCTTTCTAACCTTGTTCTCATCCATCACCAGGGATTATGTTCATGCCTAGGTGCTTTTCACTCTTCACCTGTTGAGAGCCTTTATGCAAAGGTGAAATTCCATCCTTGAACGATTGCTGTGATGCTCATTACCTCCACTGTTTTGTTCGCTTTCATGACCTCTGCAATCCTTCCATATACAGTGGACCCCCAAGTTTCAAGATTAATCCATTCCAGAGAATCTGCTGAAAGTCAAAATTCACGAATGTCGAAACCATTTTCGCCATAAGAAATAATGTAAATCAAATTAATCCGTTCCAGACACCCAAAAGTATTAACAAAAATTATTTTTTTTGTAGACTGAATATAGATTTACATGCAGAAAAGAATGAGAAATCAAGTATAAAACAATAATAACATCACACTTTCCTTTATTGAAGACTCCTGTTGGTGTACGGAAGACGGGAGGAGGGGAGAGGGTTAGGGTGATGCTCTTCCACAAATGTTTGCACCTCATTCCACTTTTCACAAATGTCCTTAATCTTTGAAGAAGGCACCTTCTTCCCTCTCTCTTCCTCCTCTGGAGCAATTTCCTCAGCTGGCGCACATAAGAACATAAAGCAGGAACACTACAGCAGACCTGTTGGCCCATACTAGGCAGGTTCTTCACAAACCATCCCACAAACATAATATTTGCCCAACCCAATTTTCAGTGCTCCCCAAGTAATAAGCTTTGACAATTCTATTCACTCATGCGCAAGTCCCACTCAAGTCAGATTGTGTGTGTGGGGAAGTACCCTGGCTGGTGTGTGTGGATAAGTACCCTGGCTGGTTTGTGTGGGGAAGTACCCTGGCTGGTGTGTGTGGATAAGTGCCCTGGCTGGTTTGTGTGGGGAAGTACCCTGGCTGGTGTGTGTGGATAAGTACCCTGGCTGGTTTGTGTGGGGAAGTACCCTGGCTGGTGTATATAAGAACATAAGAAAGCAGGAACACTGCAGCAGACCTGTTGGCCCATACTAGGCAGGTCCTTCACAAACCATCCCACTAACAGAATACGTATTTGCCCAACCCAATTTTCAGTGCTCCCCAAGCAATAAGCTTTGATAATTCTATTCATTCATGTGCAAGCCCCACTCAAATCAAATCGTGTGTGTGTGGGGAAGTACCCTGGCTGGTGTATTCTTTCTTGAATTCTATTGTGTTTCTCACCTTTACCATAAGGCTGGCACTAGGAGCTTTCTTCTGGCCCATGGTGGGTTATTTAGCAGTTGCAAGCACAAAAAAGAATGGAATATTATGAAATGTATCTTGTGAATGAGTGGGGTGATGGTCACTCGCCCAGAAACAATGGCACACTGACTCTGAATGGTGTGTGGGGCGCCTTTGTGTGCACACAGACGCTGGGAGGCCACTCAGACACGTTCTGTACGATTGACGAATAATGAGGCAAATCACGTAACGTGAGGCTATATTTTGACAAAAAAAAGTTGTCGAAAGTCGAAATCACGAAGTGCGAGGCTCTCGAAACTTGGGGTCCACTGTATAGGATAGAAACAGATGTTAGTAGAAGTTCATTGTTTGTTTGTCACCCTTCTTTACTCGGTCCCTTTTCTCTTCGTCTATATTCACTTTTGTCTTCTCTTCACTTGCCACTTTTATATGTTCGTGTATCATCTAACTTTTCACTTTTCCCTTGGGAGGTTCCGACAGTTCGTGTCTGTTCTTCCCCATTGCTATGCTCGTAAGCCCAAATACCTACAGTTGCTTCTCGCTCTCTTTTTCTTCAGCACTTCCAGTCTCATTCTCATGCCATTGTCGTGTACACCAGTGGTTATGAATCTTCTGACGGTGTCAGATTTGCAGCAGTGTTTCCGAAAAGCGTCGAGCGAGGACATTTATTAGACTCGGCTAGCATTTGTACAGCTGAATTGTATGCAATTCTTGTAGCACTTACCTGTATTGCATCTATGCCTGTGTCACCATTTGTGGTAGTTTAAGACTCCCTTAGTGCTTTGCAGGCTATAAAAATATTTGATTCTTCCCCTAGTTCTTCGTATACCACTTTGACATACAGGGCAATGAACAGGCAGACACTGCTGCATGGTCAGCAGTACATGACCTCCCAGTTTCATATAGTGGTCGTCCATTCACAGACTATGTTGCTGTAATTTCTAACCACCTTCGCAACCATTGGCAACAACGTTGATCTGATGTGATACATAACAAATTATATTCTATTACACCAAGTACATGTATAGGTTTCTGGCCATCTTCCTGTCATCAGTGCTGTGGTTGGGAGACTACTCTTTCCTGTCTTTTCATCGGACACACTCGTCTTACTCATGAGTATCTCATGGAGAGGCACCCTGTTCCACTTTGTGAGAATTGTCAGGTTCCAGTTTCTGTTAGCCATATTCTGTTGGACTATCAAATCTATCAGTGAGTGTGCAGAATTTACCTCCGACATCGCCGCCATTCTAATGCCCTTACTTTATCTTCCCTCCTTGCTGACGGACTCAACTTTGACACAGACTGTCTCATTGGCTTTTTGACAACTGATTTACTGCAAAAACTTTGATGATATTCCTCTAGCACTCCTCACAGCCCTTTCTACCTCTCCCTCTTGCTACCTTATACCCCTGCACTATACCCTGCCCTGCTGCACTGTATGACCCTTGTAGGTTTAGTGCTTCTTTTTTTATTATAATAATCTATACAAACAGCTAAGTTAATGTTACTTGTTATAAACTGGAGATCCTCTGTACAATGATTACCACTATTTTCTCAGTGAAAATACAATATAGTAATTTTGAAATGTCACCAAGTGCCACATATTCTTTTCTGGATCTTATAGACAGTTATTAAAATATATGCTGGTATGTATGAAATAATTTATACTGTAATTAAGGTATATATTGTATTATATTTATAATTAGGTAATCCAGAAATAAAAATAAAAATTTTGGTTATAATATATAAAAAAATCAAGCATCACTTAACTTTTACTAATTTTGCCTTAATAATATTAAAACTTCCCTAATATTAAATATTTGACTACTTTTAATTAATATTACAACCTGAGTTGGTTGATGAGCATACCCTAATCTTGTTGCATTCTGCTGCAGGTGATGAATGTCAAGCTGAACCACTGTATAGAATTGATGGAGTTGCTTAAAAGTCACCTGAGTGAGCAGCACGCCTCCCGATTGGAGTGGATCATCATAATTCTTATTATGGTTGAAGTTGGCTTTGAGCTCCTACACTTCCTGGAGCGCCTTTACTGATCCATCCTACCAAAGGGCAGTCGTCACATCTTAAGGTGTATTATAATCAAATGTGATCAAAACATTGGTTAGGTCTACATTACCACAGCCTGTGGGCATTAGTTACTCCAAAAGAAGAGAATTATTCCTCAAAAATAAGATGATCTGTTATCATCTGTCTGGCAAGCAGTAATGCTTTATAACTAACTTTTCATTCTTCTAAATGGATGTGGAAGATACTGTGTCTCATGTCTGGGTTTTAAGACCATAATTAATACAACTTAAATTTATTAAACTTCATTTTTTTTATGTGGTTTTATTTCTTGAATCTCATTTATCCTTAAAATGGTGACCTCTCCCAAAATCTTACTCAAACATTTTAAATACAAGTGTTACTGTTAATGGAGTGAGGAAGTGTAGGGTCATCCTCCCTCCATTGCCACATGTTTGTGCATCAGACACACTTGACAATATGATTATCTCATGGATGGGTGCCTGGAGCTACTCTAAAAATTGTCAGGCCATCCTGACAGTAGCATCTCTTCATCAATTGGTACATTTATCATAAATCACATTGACTTTGTCTCAGAAATAAAGATGATTATTAATATATTATCAAACTTGCAGGAAGGCTTGAGCACTAGAGATAGTAAAGATCAGGCATCTTTCTCAATGGATCCTGACTATTATTATTATTATTATTATTATTATTATTATTATTATTATTATGGCAATCTTGCTTCTTAGAACCCTTTTGAAAGGGTTCTAAGATGCAAGATTGCCACCCACTTAGCACCAAATAGTTGTTCAACCCAGGGCAGCATGGGTTGAGAGCAGGTCACTCCTGCCTGTCCCAACTACCAGACCACTATGACATGGTCTTGTATGCTCTGGAGGACAAACAAAATGCTTATGTACCATACACAGACTTTGCAAAAGCCTTTGACAAGTGGAATCATGGTGTAATAAAACACAATATGCGTGATAAAGAAAAAACAGGAAAAGATGGCAGATGGATTTATAACTTCCTAACAAACAGAACATAAAGAGTAATAGTAAACAGAGTAAAGTTAGAGGAGGCAACAGTGAAAAGCTGTGCCCCACAAGGCATAGTACTCGCTCCCATCGTATTCCTCATCCTCATATCTGACATACAGAGCTGTAAGCCATAGCTCCATGTCTTCCTTTGCAGATGACACCCGAATTGCCATGACAGTGACCTCCATCGAAGACACCGCAAGACTCCAAGTGGACATCAACTGAATCTTCAAATGGGCCACTCAAAACAATATGAAGTTCAATGAAGAGAAATTTCAACTACTCATATATGGAAAACTTGAGGAGATTAAAACTGTGCCAGGGTATACAACAGTTCTAACCATAAAGAGAGCAAAAAAGTAATGTGAAGGATTTGGGAGTGATAATGTCAGAGGATCTTGCCTTCAAGGACCCCAACAATGTATCTACTGCATCTGCTAGGAAAATGATAGGATGGATAATGAGAACCTTCAAAACTAGGGACATGATGATTCTCTTTAAATTGCTTGTTCTCTCTAGGCTGGAATACTACTACTGCACATTAACTGCCCCCTTCAAGGAAGGCAAAATTGCTGACCTGGAGAGTGTACAAAGAACTTTCATGGCACACTTAAGTACGATAAGTACTTACTGGGAACAGTTGAAGTCCCTTGATTTGTATTCCCTGGAATGCAGGTGAGAGAGATACATGTATACACTTGGAAATTCCTAAAAAGATTAGTACCAAACTTGCACACGAAAATCACTCCCTAAGAAAGCAAAAGACTCGGCAGGAGATGCAGCATTCCTCCACTGAAAAGCAGGGGTGCCACGAGTACACTGAGAGAAAACACATTAAATGTCAGGGGCCCAAAACTGTTCAACTGCCTCCCACCATACATATGGAAGATTACCAATAGACCCTTGCCTGTCTTTGAGAAGGCATTGGACAGGCACATAAAGTCAGTAGGTACCTGACCAGCTGGGCTGTGGTTCGTACATCGGTTTACGTGCGGCCAACAGTAACAGCGTGGTTGATCAGGCCCTAATCCACCACAAGGCCTGGTCACAAACTGGCCAAGGGGACGTTGACCCCAAAAATCTCCCTCCAGGTATATACTCCAGGGGAATGCTAAACCCACAGGGATTATATAGCACCTGTGGGGGGGGAAGGCATTCAGCTAGTGTAGGGAACCTGAACACAGATCCAGAGCTATATGACCCTGATGGGTTTAACGCTTGGTTTTTATATAAAAATGGAGCCCCTCAGTAGCATCAAGGAGCCTCCCTTGAGGGGTCAACGGGTCCTGAGCATTGATGACGAAGTCCCAAATTCTCTTCCCCGGATCCCCGTGCTGCAAGCAGCAGCAAGCAGCAGCAGCAGCAGCAGGAGCAGCAGCAGCAGGAGCAGCAGAAGCAGCAGCAGCAGCAACAGCAGCAGTAGGAGCAGCAGCAGCAGCAGCAGAAGGAGCAGCAGTAGCAGGAGCAGCAGCAGCAGAAGGAGCAGCAGCAGCAGGAGCAGCAGCAGCAGCAGGAGTAGCAGCAGCAGCAGCAGGAACAGCAGCAGCAGCAGTAGGAGCAGGAGCAGCAGCAGGAGGAGCAGCAGCAGCAGGAGTAGCAGCAGCAGGAGCAGCAGCAGCAGGAGTAGCAGCAGCAGCAGCAGTAGGAGCAGCAGCAGGAGCAGCAGTAGCAGCAGCAGTAGCAGGAGGAGCAGCAACAGAAGGAGCAGCATCAGTAGCAGCAGCAGCAGGAGCAGCAGCAGCAGGAGCAGCAGCAGCAGGAGCAGCAGCAGCAAGAGCAGCAGCAGCAGGAGCAGCAGCAGCAGCAGGAGCAGCAGCAGCAGCAGGAGCAGCAGCAGCAGGAGCAGCAGTAGCAGGAGGAGGAGCAGCAGAAGGAGCAGCATCAGCAGCTGCAGGAGCGGCAGCAGCAGCAGGAGCAGTAGGAGCAGCAGCAGCAGCAGCAGCAGGAGCAGCAGCAGGAGCAGCAGCAGCAGGAGCAGCAGCAGCAGCAGCAGGAGCAGCAGGAGTAGCAGCAGCAGCAGCAGGAGTAGCAGCAGCAGCAGGAGTAGCAGCAGCAGCAGTAGGAGCAGCAGCAGCAGCAGTAGCAGCAGCAGTAGGAGCAGCAGCAGCAGCAATAGCAGCAGCAGCAGGAGCAGTAGGAGCAGCAGCAGTAGCAGCAGCAGCAGGAGCAGCAGCAGCAGTAGGAGCAAATGCAGGAGCAGCATCAGTAGCAGCAGCAGCAGGAGCAGCAGTAGCAGCAGCAGTAGCAGCAGTAGCAGCAGTAGGAGCAGCAGCAGCAGGAGCAGCAGTAGCAGCAGCAGCAGCAGCAGCAGGAGCAGCAGCAGTAGGAGCAGCAGCAGCAGGAGCAGCAGCAGCAGGAACAGCAGCAGCAGCAGCAGCAGGAACAGCAGCAGCAGCAGGAACAGCAGGAGCAGCAGCAGCAGTAGGAGCAGGAGCAGCAGCAGCAGGAGCAGCAGCAGCAGTAGCAGCAGCAGCAGTAGCAGCAGCAGCAGCAGCAGCAGGAGCAGCAGCAGCAGGAGCAGCAGCAGCAGGAGCAGCAGCAGCAGCAGCAGCAGGAGCAGCAGCAGCAGCAGCAGCAGCAGGAGCAGCAGCAGCAGCAGCAGGAGGAGGAGGAGCAGCAGCAGCAGCAGCAGCAGGAGCAGCAGCAGCAGCAGGAGGAGGAGGAGCAGCAGCAGGAGCAGCAGCAGCAGCAGCAGGAGGAGGAGGAGCAGCAGGAGCAGCAGCAGGAACAGCAGGAGCAGCAGCAGCAGTAGGAGCAGGAGCAGCAGCAGCAGGAGCAGCAGCAGCAGTAGCAGCAGAAGCAGCAGCAGCAGCAGCGGGAGCAGCAGCAGCAGGAGCAGCAGCAGCAGGAGCAGCAGCAGCAGGAGCAGCAGCAGCAGGAGCAGCAGCAGCAGCAGCAGGAGCAGCAGCAGCAGCAGCAGGAGGAGGAGGAGGAGCAGCAGCAGCAGGAGCAGCAGCAGCAGCAGGAGGAGGAGCAGCAGCAGCAGCAGCAGGAACAGCAGCAGCAGGAGGACAGCAGCAGCAGCAGCAGGAGGGAGGAGGAGGAGGAGGAGGAGGAGGAGGAGGAGGATGGAGGAGGAGAAAGAAAACGGAGGAGGAATGAGGAGGGAGGAGGAGGAGGAGGAGGAGGAAGAGGAAGGAGGAGGGAGGGAGGAGAAGGAAGGAGGAGGAGAAGTAGGAGGGAGGAGGAGGAAGGAAGAGGGAGGAGGAAATAGGAGGGAGGAGGAGGAAGGAGGAGGACGACGACGACGACGAAGAAGAAGAAGAAGAAGAGGAGATTATTATTATTATTGTTAATATTATTATTGAAGAATTAAGACACTTATGCAACATATGGGAATCTTTTATTGAAGAAACGTTTCGCCACACACTGGCTTCATTAGTCCAATACAAAGCAGGAAGGAATAAGGAGAGGAGGAGTTTGAGGTAATCAGTCCCTCAGCCTGGAGTCGATGTGTTCAGTCCATCAATCTTACAGAAAGTACAGCACAAGGCTGTAGCAGTGGCTTATTCCTGGAAGGCTGGTGCAGACGTCCAGGTGTCTCGCTCTACCGGAGTTAAGATAAGATAAGATTTCGTTCGGATTTTTAACCCCGGAGGGTTAGCCACCCAGGATAACCCAAGAAAGTCAGTGCGTCATCGAGGACTGTCTAACTTATTTCCATTGGGGTCCTTAATCTTGTCCCCCAGGATGCGACCCACACCAGTCGACTAACACCCAGGTACCTATTTGCTGCTAGGTGAACAGGATAACAGGTGTAAGGAAACGTGTCGAAATGTTTCCACCCGCCGGGAATCGAACCCGGGCCCTCCGTGTGTGAAGCGGGAGCTTTAGCCACCAGGAGTGGGAACTACCTGACCTCACTGGGGGGAACAAAATTGTCTTTTTATAGTCCAACCCAGCCGTGACCAATTTTTTTCTTTTATTTTTTTAGTGGCAATAAGAAATCATTTTTTTTTAAATTGTATTCCTTACTGTACTGTGAATGTGGAAACTTGTGGTGCCCAACTCTGGCAATTACTGCTGACGCAAGTAACGTAAGATTACTTATCCTACCCTCACAATGCTCCTTTAGTTCACTTCATTTTATTTATTTATTTATTTATTTAGAAATTTAAGCATACAAACAGAGGTACAAAAAATACAGGTAAGAGCAGCATGCCAAAGCCACTTATATGCATAGCATTACGGGCTGGCTTAAAATTAACTTAAGATTAACTAAGCAATGATGAAATCAGTGATAAGACATTATTGTAAACAGATAACTAT